GCGTCCTCCCGCCTGCCGCTCTCCCGGATTCCCATCCCAGCTCCGTGAATTATTTAACTCTAAACGCATCTCGGGCACCCTCGGGGCCTCAGGGCACTTCCACGGAGCCTGTGGCAGGGAATGATGGAGAGCAGGGAAGAGCAGGGAAAGGAAAAGAGGGGGAGAAGAGCAGGGATCTCTCCCAGCTCCCAGGGATCTCTCCCAGCTCGCAGGGATCTCTCCCAGCTCCCAAGGATCTCTCCCAGCTCCCAGCCCAGGATTCTTGGAGGCTGCCAGTTCTTCCCACGAGGCCTGGGCTGTGCTGGAAGCATCAGTTGAACCCAAAAACATCCCCTCCATCATCCTCAGTGACAGTCCTGGGTTTGTTCCCTCCTTAACCCCTTTCAGGAGGAATTAGGGAGCCCGTTGGATCCCTCAATCCAAGACTTTACCTGCCTTGACCCACAAACAGTGTCCAGAGTGGGAACACCAACCCCCATCCCCACGAGTAGCTGTGTCTGTGTGGAGAGACCCTCATCATGGAAAACCTCAGACCATTTTCCACTTGGCTTATCCTGCCCTGCTGTGGAAAAATTCCGGCCTGGAAGAACATCCCTGGCCTGGAAAAACATCCCTGGCCTGGAAGAACATCCCCGTGTGTTCATAAATCCAGCACTGAGCTCGTTCCCCCCACTGCCAGAGGGATCCCTGGGCTGGTTGGAGGCACTTCTGGGGTTTCCTGGGAATATCCAAGCACCCATCCCACAGATCCAGCATCCTGATCCTGGCTCAGCTCTTCCACACTCATCCTGATCCCGATCCCGGCTCAGTGCCCACGTGGCACATCTGGGTGCTGGAATCAGGGAGAAGGGATGTCTCTCATCTGGATTCCTGGGATTTCAGTGCGACAGGGAAGCCCCAGCAGGTGAGGGCACAGGAGCAGTGATGATCCCTGTGGAATGGGAATGATCAGGAGGATCGGGAATGATCAGGAGGATCAGGAATGATCAGGAGGAATGTGGCTCCTCCAGCACTCCCCGGTACACAGAGCAAAGGGCAAAACCACCTCGACAAGGAAAAAAAGCTGCAAAGTTCGGGTCCCTTCAGCTGGGAATTCACATTCCAGAGGGTGACACCAACTCCAGGGACACGTCCCCTCGTGGAGCCGCCCCCAGGGTGGGAAAGTGCCACACTCGGGGTGGGAAAGCGCCAGACAGCGACTGGGAGGAGGCACCGCCGAGGCTCCAAACCCGAGTCGTCGCTTGTTTTTCCCACCTCTCCCGAGGAAAAAGGTGCCCCACCCTAAACCCAGCCCAGGGGAAAGGGGCCCGGGGGGCTGATCCCGGGAATGCTGCGGGTGTCCCCGGGCGCCGGGGTGGCACAGATGGCTGATGACACAGCGCTGTCACCTCCGGATCCCCCGGGAGAGGAAACGGGAGCTCGTCACTCCCCGGAGCGCTCACCCACCCACGTGTCTCCGACACGGCGGGGGAAGGATCCTGGCAGCGGCCTCGGGGGAAATGAGGCAGCAAAAGGGAAGGGAAAAAACCAAAAAAATAAGTGGGATTTTTGGGATTCGGGAGGTAAATAAACGGCTCCTCCCCGGGGTCCTTTCCCCCCGTGGTTGTCACGGGGCGGGGTGATGGTGATGGGTGAAGGCGGAGGAGCATCAAAGGGATGGTTCTTTGGCTGATTAATCGATGAAATTTAATTAATTAAACAATTTGGAGGCGCGATTTCGGGGTTGTGTTGACGGGGGATGAGGTTAAACTTGTCCCCCACCTGCACCAAGGGGTTGGTTGAGAGGGGAAGAGCAGGACAAAGGAGCAGAGGGGAGTTATCACTGACAGCACCTACACAGAGCCAGATCTCGGGCAGTTTGGAATATCCAAAAACTCCAGTGGTTCAGGATCTCCGGGAGTAAGGAATGCCCAGCAGTTTGGAATTTCTGGGAGTGTGGAATCCCCAGAAGTTTGGAATCTCCAGCACCAGCCTGGGCAGCCTCTGCTGAGCCAACCACGTTTCAGTTCTAGTGCTGGAACGAGACTTGGAGGAAGAAAATAATTTAAAAAAAAAAAAAATTATTTATTCCATTAATTATTACTTATGCTATCAATTAAACTTGCCAAGTTTAATTTGCTTAAAAAAAAAAACCACAAAAGGATCTCAAAGAGGTGTTTTGCCCTCAACCCACAGCGATGGGATCGGGGATAACAGGGCGGCTCCTTTGATTTTGGGAAGATTCCCCTGCACCAAAACCCCCCAAAAAAACCCCAAATAAAGAGGCCAGACACAGGTTTGTTCCACTACTGTCTCTGTACTTTATTCTCCTGCTGTCTACAGCCTTTACAGCCACACAGGACAGACACAGGTCGCACTGAGGAATGCTCAGGTTCCTCCCTCGCGCCCCAAACCCAGGAATGGCTTTTTGCTTTTTTTTTTTTTAATAGTTTTTTAAATTTTTTTAAATTCATATTTAGGAAACTCCCACCCCCCCCAACCCCCCCCCCCCCCCAAAAAAAAAAAAAAACAAACAAAAAACCAAAAACCAACCTCCAGAACCGAACTAAAAAGAAAAGGCATTACTAGAAAGGTTTGAGCCAGGCCTGGCCCTGGCCGTGCTCCGGAGCCCTTCCCAGAGCTCCTCCTCTGCTCCGACACCTGGGATTCGCTTTAGTTCGCTTTTATTTCGCTTTATTCTCGTTTATTAAGTTTTTTTTTATCTGCACACTGGGGCAGAGGCGGCCCCGGGGCGGCCCGAGCCCAGCACTGAAGGCACATTCATGTCTGATACCCTGTAACGAGCGTGTGGTGCTGTGGGGCAGCTCCGGGAGGGAGCCGAGGAGCAGCAGGGGGGGGGAGATGGGTGGGAAAGGAAAAAAAAGTAGGGATAACGGGGAAAAATAATAAAGAAAAAAAAAGGGGGAAAAAATGGAAAAAACCCGGAAAAAAATGGAAAAAAAGGAAGAAAATGGAAAAAAAAATGAAAAAAATGGAAGAAAATGGAGAAAGGAAAAAAATGAAAAATGGGAGAAAAAAAGAAAAAACTGGAAGAAAATGAAAAAAGGGAAGAAAATGGAAGAAAATGAAAAAAAAGAAGAAAATGAAAAAATTGAAAAAAATAAAAAATGGAAAAAATTGGAAAAAAATGAAAAGAAAAAGAAAATGGAAAAAAATTTTAAAAAAGGAAGAAAATTAAAAAAAAAAGGAAGAAAATGAAAAAAAAACCAGAAAAAATGAAAAGGAAAAAATGAAAAAAAGTGGAAATGATGAGAAAAAAGAGAAAAAATTAAAGAAAAATAAAGAAAAAGGAAAAAAGAAATCGAAAAAGAAAAAAGGAAGAGGAAAAATAAAAAGGGAAAATGAAGGAGGAGGAAGGAAGGAGGAGGAAGAGGAAAAAGGAGGAGGAAGAAGGAGGAAAAAGGGAGGAAGGAGGAGGAAGGAGAAAGACTATTTTCTTCTTTAGTCTTCTTGGAAGAAAAATTGAAAGAAAAAAGTTGAAAAAAAATTGAAAGAAAAATTGAAAGGAAGAAAATCTGGGGAAAAAACCAAAAAAGAATTCAGACCAAATACTGCTGAAGGCTTTTCCTGCTCTCCCTCCCAGGAGCAGCTTTCCCGGTGCCCCCCCCCGGGGGCTCCAACAGCTGCCAGGGGGCAAAAATGAAATGAAAAATCCAATCTCCAAACCCTGCACCTCCTCCGAGCTGTTCCTTGGCTTATTGCTGACTCCAGGCTAAGGGAGAATTCCTCAAAAACATCTTTTTTTTTCTAGTTTTTTTTTGGTTTTTTTTTGTTCCCCCTCCCCTTTCCTTCAGGGGGGGAAATTCTGATCCTTCATGTGAAAACCAGGGAAGCAGCAAACAGCCAATTCCATGCGGAGTCGCCCATCGGATTTGTCACTACTCTATTGGGAGAAAAAAACAAAATAAAAATACTCGTTATTCCTGGGTTATCCCTTTGGGCTCGGAAAGGCCAAGAATAGGAAAAAAAAAAAGCAAAAAAAAAAAAAAGGAAAATATTGGGGAATGTTTGACACCATTTTATTCATCTTCAACTGCAGTGGAAAAATAGAACCTTTTACAAGTGCCGCCTCGTGTCAGCTCAACTCAGTATATATATATTTTATATAAATTTCTTTTTTTTTTTCCTTTTTTTTTCTGTTGTGTGTTTTTTTTTTTTTTTGAAGTGCAGCGAGAGACCAAAAAACCACATTAAACCTGATCAAAATAAAGAGCACAAAAAAGGCCAAGCAGTTTCCAAATGGCATTTTATCCGATTTTTCCTGCTTTTTGTGTTTTTTTTTTAGTTCCCTGTGTGTGTTTTGCACGTTGAATTTCTCCTCAGTCCCAAAAATATCACCTGAAGTTTTTTCTTCTTATTATTATTATCTGCGCAAGTTTTTTTTATTTTTCTGTTTGCTTTATTTTTTTTGAACTCTTTGGCACAATTTCGGTGTGAGTGTTCTGGGCTGCTACAGTACAAGTCAGGAGAGATCTTTTTCCCTTTCACAGCCAAATTCGGAGCACTTTAAATCTAAATTTTTTTAATTTATTTTGACGCCTTTTTTTTTTTTTTTGAACTCTTTAAGCCCCAAATCTCGATTTGACCATTTTTTTTCCTATTCCCTCTGTGTGTTTTTCCCCCCCCCCATTTCTACATTCACAGTTGAACAATATTTAAGGAAGGAAAGGCGCTTTTTGCTGAGCAGGACAAGCGTCACCTGCCGGGAGCTCTGAACATTCGTCAGCGTTTCCCTAAAAATAAAAAGCCCTAAAGAGCGACTTTCCTTTATTTAAATTTTTTTTTTTTACCTTTTTTTTTAAATTTTTTTTTTTACTTTTTTTCTTTTAATCCTCTTTTCACCTGTGTTTTTTTTTTTCTGCTTTATTATTATTTTTGTACATCTCTTAACGCTGCATCAGTAGGACCGAACGTCTCGTTAAGTTTATGAAATGCAACAGCCAACCCTTTGTAATGTTTTTTGCGTGGGATTGCTTCGTTTTTTTGTGGGGTTTTTTGTGTGTTTTCTGGGAAAAGATAAACTGCAATGACTTGAAGTTGAGAATGTGGATACCTCCTCACTCACACACACTCACTCCTCGACTGAAAAATCCTTCACCCTCCCCCTTTTTCCTCATCCCGCGCTGGAGAATCCAAAGCTCCACCTCTCTCCAGCAGCCAAGACCTCGCAGAGCACCACAGTTGATCCCAGTTTTTTTTCCTCTCTCTCTCTCCTCTCCCAACTGGCCGTTCCTCGTGGAGAAGCCAGTCCTGGGCTGTTGGGAGAAGAGCCTCCCTCGTGTTGCTTGGACAGAATTCCCGAATTCCCGATGCCGGCTCAGCGCTGCTCCCGTGGCTGCTCTCCCGGGATTTTCAATGTGGTGTGTTGTTGTTGTTGTTGGGTTTTTTTTGTGTTTTGTTTTTTCTTCAAGCCTCACTCACACTCATCCTCTCTCATTCCCAAACATTCAGCATCCGTGCACACTCCTCACTTCCGGGTTTTTTTCAAAAGATTGGAGATTTTTCCAGTGGGGGTTCTCAGGTGTCATCCCAATGGTAACAGATCTGGAAGCAAGGGGAGGGAAAAAAATAAAAAAAGAAAAAAAAAAAGGGGTCTGTCACTGTTTGGGGATGTGGGTGGGTGGGTTTGATCCTGGAGGGCTTTTCCAACCTTAATAATTCCATGATTCTACGAAAAAATAACCCCCAAATCCAACATTCACATGGAAAAAAATCGACCTTTCAGGACCACAAGAGAAATAACAGGGATATTAAAGGAATTCCAAGAGGGGTGACAAAGCTGGGACACTCAATTCTGCCAAAATAATCCTCCATCCCACTTTTCCTTTACAACCTGCTCCCTTTAAAAGGTGTTTCAGTGGAATCATGGAATACCTGGAGTTGGAATGGAGCCCCGAGGATCAGATTCCAGCTCCCTAAAACTGAACTGTGGCACTGAGAGCAGCTCCCAGGTGCTCCCTGAACTCCAAGGCTTCAATTCCAGCAGGTTTGGAGGGTCCCCAAGGAGCACAAGTGACACATTTGAGGAAGGAGAGGGATTTTTATATGGGAAGACAGTGACAGGAATGGTTTTAAACTGCCAGAGGGGGCAAGGAGTGATGGGATATTGGGAAGGAATCCTTCCCTGGGAGGATGGGGAGGCCCTGGCACAGGTTGCCCAGAGAAGCTGTGGCTGCCCCTGGATCCCTGGAAGTGTCCAAGGCCAGGTTGGAGCAACCTGGGACAGAGGAAGGTGTCCCTGGGGGTGGAACTGGATGAGCTTTAAGGTCCCTTCCAACCCAAACCATTCCATGATTCCATGTTTCACCCCCAATCCCTCCTTCCCCCGGATTTGTCCTGACAAACCAACCCCCAGAGTGAAAATAAACGAGAACCAACCTCCTGGAGAACAGAGCCTTTGGGATTGTGCCTCTTCCAGGCCGATCCCCAAAGTGTGGAGCAGGGAAGGAGGTGGGAGGGAGCCCTTACCAAGCTTGATTCTTCAGTTTTCTCAGCTCTTTAGTCGCCCAGGTCGCGAGAGTTTTCGTTTTGTTCGTCTTGGATCTCCTCCCTTCCGTTAGCAGTTCATGGATCATGGGTCTGGCTTCTACTAATTTCAGAACATCTTTCCCAAATGCTGTACACAAATCCCTGGAAGGAGGGGAGAGAGAGAGAGAGGCTTTGAGCACCACAAACAGCTGTGCCAGCACAGAGAGCTCTGACTCACAGATCCTGCAGACGGTCACTGATCCCAGGCCTGCGACTCAAAGGGATGTTCAACCTCCTGTCCCAGGACTGATCTGCCCTAAATTCAGCAGGAAAGACTAAAACACCTCAAACTGGGTTTCCTCTGTACCCTGAGGACGGGAGGTTTTTTGCTTCTGAGCTTTTCTGTTTCAGCTCATCCCTTAAAAAACCCTAAATCTGGAATTCCTGTGACGAGCTCCACTTCCACCTCCCGGTTTCCACCTTTGTGACGCCTTCACACCCCGAGTTAAACACCCAGCACTGCTGTAAAACCCCAGAGCTGGTGTTAAACACTTGAGACAGGCAGGAGAAAGTGCAGATTCCAGGGATTCTGGAATAGGGGGGAGGCCTTACCCTATGAGCCCGGCAGCACAGGCCACCACCCCGTCCGTGTGATCCTCATCCCCAGCGATGTGGTCGATGTAGGACAGGATAAATTCTACTCTGGGCTGCACCAGCATCACATCAGCTGCAAGGGAAAGGCTCTGTCAGAGCAGGGGGACACAGGGACAGCATATGACAGGGCTTCCAGGGATTCCAGAGATCCCAAAACAGCCGGAATCTGACCCGAAAGAGCTTCTCTGACAGGGAGGGGAAATGCTGCCAGAAGAACCACAGTGAAAGGCTCTGAACACGTTCCCTGCCTGTGGCAGCAGAGTGTTCACTCCCACAGGGGAGGGAATGAACAGGGATATTCCCATGGATGTGATAACCACGGAGAAAAGGTGCTCAGGGGGACCTTATTCCTCCCTGGAAGGAGGTTGGAGCCAGGTCGGGCTCTGATCCCAAGAAAAGGGACAGGACAAGAGGAAACGGCCTCAAGCTGCAGCAGGGGAGGTTCAGATGGGATATCTGGGAAAATTTCCTCGTGGAAAGGGTTGTAAAGCACCAGCACGGGGCAGTGGTGGAGTCACATCCCTGGAATATTCAAAACACATGTGGGATGTGGCACTTGGGGACACAGGTTAGAGGTGACACAGCCAGACTTGGCCTTAAGGACCTTTTCCAACCTCAGCATTCCCGTGATCCCAGCAGAGCTGCCCCCACCCAGCCCAGGGTACTCACGGTGCACGTTCTCCTGGTCTCCCTTCAATCCCTGGATGATCCCAGTGTAGGCTTCCAGGCAGCCCTCCCTCAGCTCGTTCAGGTAATCCACCATGTCATAGTCAGACTGGAAAGGGCCACAGGAATGGGAATGAGACCCTGGGAACACCCCGAGGACGTGCAGAGCCCGTTGCTGGGCCGGGCACACCTTACCTTGTCCACCTGTGCCTGGGATGCCTGTTGGAGGGTGTTCAGCACCACGTCCAGGTACTTCTTGAACTCCCCCCCAATGGCCAGGGCGATGTCCCCAAACACTGAGAGGATCTGGGGCTTCACAGACCTATGGACATTTTCATTCTGGAAGAGATTCCAGCAGGGGCCACCTTCAGTTTTCTCCGCTCCGTTCGGGAGGGGGACGGAGCCAATAAATGCAGATTATTTACTCCAAATGCAAATCCTTGCCCCCAATAAGTTTGGATCCCGTTCAAACAGTAAGCAAGATAGTTGTCAGACACGAGATGATCCGAGCATTCCCTAACACTTGTGCTTCTCTCCCACCTCCCACCTCCCTCGGGAGTGTGCAGCCAAACTGTTACTAATGAGGAGGGAAACACTCACCCCCAAGTTCTCCAGGAGCAGCTGCATAACCTCGTCACAGAAAGGCAGGATGTTGGACTGCAGGGCTCTGCACAAGTCCCCAACCAGGCCCACTGCAGACAGGCAGACCTGCAAATAGCACAGCAACACCCCCACCGTGAGTCAGGCAGTGCTCCAGCATCCTGGATCCTGCTCATTCCAGCACTCTGGAGTGGGGAGAGGTTAATTAAACCACGGGGAATAACGACCCTGAGAGCAGCTGAGGAGTCCCTGGGCAGTCCCTGCTTCCTTAACCTGCTTCCTTAACCCCAGAGCCCAGATCCAGGTGCCCAAGGAGAGACAGGGATTGAGTCTGAACAAACCCAACCATGTTGTGTCTCAGTACCCACCCCCCTGGAGGGCACCAGGGCTCCAAATTCCAATGGGAAATCCCATCCAGCAGAACCTCCTTCCTCACCAAGGCCAACAAATGTGCAGTGTCCAGGCACTGGAGGCTTCTGCTGCTTTAAGTCTGAATTTATGCAGAGAATTGGACTGGTTTGGGCTGGAAGGGACCTTAAAGATCATCACATTCCACTCCCTGCTGTGGGCAGGGACACCTTCCACTGTCCCAGGTTGCTCCAACCTGGCCTTGGACATTTCCAGGGATCCAGGGGCAGCCACAGATTCTCTGGGCAAAGGGAGCAAAGTCTTGGATCTCTACCTGGTACTCGGCATAGTTCTTCAGTCCAATGCCAAGGAAGGGTTTGAAGGCATCCATGTACTTCAGGAACTCTCCACCTAAGACTGTGTGTGGAAAATATTCCAGTTAGAAAGAAAAAAAAACTCATTTGTGACTGGAATCCTGTTTTGCTGGAGTTCAACAAGTCAGAATCCCACCCAAACCCAGTGGAAATCAATCCTCCTCCAGGCAACACCCAGGAAATGAGGGGCACTGAAATGTGTCCAGGGCCAGCTGGAGTCAAGAGACTCCCAAGAGCCAAATTCCCTGAGGGTTTTTGTCACTGTGATTTCTGATAAACAAGAGCAGGGGCTGTAAATCCACTGCCAGAACAGCCCTGAGTCACCAGGGAGGGTGAATCACTCAGGTAACGTCCAATCTGTCCTGGAGCTGCTCCAAGGGAACAGGTTCCCTTGGGATGGGAACTGGACAGAGCAGCACTAATTTGGGGGGGTTTTTTTTTTGCTCTGTGACAACATTATAAACTGAAATCAAACCATTCCTTCAGGGAACAGAAATCTGGAATAACCAGCCAGGCTCAGACACGGCGAGATCATGGAACACAGGATGGTTTGGGTTGGAAGGGACCTTAAAGATCATCCAGTTCTACTCTCAGGGACACCTTCCACTAGCCCAGGTTGCTCCAAGTCCCTTGGACACTTCCAGGGATGGGGCAGCCACAGCTTCTCTGGGAAATCCATTCCAGCCCCACAGGGAAGAATTCCTTCCCAATATCCCCTCCTGGAGTCCATTTCTCCACGTAAAGGAGCAGCAATGACACACAGATCTTGTATCATTGTGTCTGACAAGAGTCACACTTGACATTCCAATGGGAAACCCCATCCAGCAGAACCTCCTTCCTCACTAAGGTCCACAAATGTGCAGTGTCCAGGAACTGGAAGCTTCTGCTGGATCAACCTGAATTTGTGTGCAGAATTAGACTGGTTTGGCTCAAAGATCATCACATTCCATCCCCTGCCATGGGCAGGGACACCTTCCACTGGCCCAGGTTGCTCCAGCCTGGCCTTGGACACTTCCAGGGGTGGAAGAGACACCTTCCACTGGTCCAGGTTGCTCCAGCCTGGCCTTGGACACTTCCAGGGGTGGGGCAGCCACAGTTTCTCCATCCCAGGGGTGTTCACACGACGCCTCGAGCAAAACCAGCACCTGATGCTATTTTTTCCCCCACACACAAACCAAACGATCCAAAAAGGGTCCAAAGGATCCAAAAAGGGTCCAAAGGATCCAAAAAGGGTCCAGAGCTGACCTTCCACCAGGGTGCTGACGGCCATCAGGGCGTCCTCCTGCACTCCCCCTGAGCCCGCCGTGCTCTGGAACATCCTCAGCAGCGAGGCCATGACCACGTCTGAGATCTGCAGGGCATCCTGGTGCTGCACCTTCCTCAGCACGTTCTGCAGGGGCAGGAGGACACACACCACCACTGTTTCCATCCCTCTGAGCCCATATGAAGCTTTTCCAACCCCTCCTCTCCCCCCTTTCCCAGAAAGGAAGCTGCTGTTTGAACTCCGCCGCTGCCAAAAATCCGCTTGATCGCCCTAAAGTCCCTTTTTCATTTTGCTCCCATTCAATTCTGCAGCCACAGGATGAGCTGAATTTACCTTTCCTGCTGCATAGGCTGTTCTCCCAGCTTTCTATTTGTAAGCTGGAATTAAATGTGACCAGCCCAAATCTGATCCTATGAAAAAAACAAAAAGCAAGGAGGGTCCCCCTTTTCTGTCGCGGCGACGGGCCCAACTTTAGAAATGCTGGTTGGTGGAAGAAAACACTTTTTATGGGAAGAGAAGGACCAATTCCTTATAATAATAATTATTTTAAGGCTGATTCTTCACTCCAAAGGGCTGTTTAAATAATTAAGCCTTGATTTGTAGAATTAACAGGGTGGTTTGGGTCGGAAGAGACCTCGGAGATCATCAAATTCCAACCTTCCACTAAGCCCAGGTTGGTCCAAGCCCTGTCCAACCTGGCCTTGGACACCTCCAGGGATGGGATTTTCTAGTTCCTTTTAAATATTAACAAATGGATTTATGGCAGAACAACAAAAAGTTCTGTAACAAAACAGTGTATGTGACCATTTAACAGTGAAAAAACCTCTGCTGAGTTTTACTCAGCGGAATTTAAGTATTTGCTGCAACTGAGGAAATGCTTCAGGTGCAGATTTTGGGATAATGAAGAAACACATGTTTATAAATTAAAATTGGCAGTTTAATTCCACTTCTCTTACACTCCCCAGGGGCAAACAAAGCTGTGCTGGGAGAGATCAGGGACCACCAGAAGGAGATTCCAGACACTGAATCTCCCCATTAAAGCCCAACATAAGGACAGATTATTCCCACCTACCCATTATTTTTCAAAATTAACCTAAAAATTGGAGAGTGAAAGCAACCACAAGGCTTTTGAGGGAGCAAATGAATGATTCCTGGAGACAAACCCCCCAGATTCCAACGGGGTGTTCTGAGCAATCTCCTGAGCTGATTTTGGGGGGAAAAAAAAATAAAAGTGTTTTCAGTGGGATCTGTAGGAGTAACCAAGGAACTGCACTGCACTGGTGCTCCCAGTCACACTGCTCATTACCAGATGTTTCATTTCAGGGCCTCTTGGTGCCTTTTAATTAGAGCCACTTGAAATAAGAACACCAACCACAGGAGGCAGATGAAGGAATTCGAGCCGTGTTGGAGGTTTTTTTTTTTGCCTGTGCCAAGCAAAGGGGTTGTTCAGGCTGCAGCCAACACAGGAGCCAAGCTGACAGCACACACAATCCTTTATCCCCCCTTTAACAGGCTGCCCACAGTGTTCCTGCTTCAAATTGCCCTAAATTCTGCCACCGGAGCGAGAGTCGAGGCTTCTGATCCTTGTCTCACCTCCCACGTGTCAGCTGGGACACAAATCCCACTTTTCCTCGTTCAGATCTGATCAACAGGCTCCTCAGGGGCACAGGAACATCCCCTAGAGCCACCCCATTCCCATAAAAACCCCCGGGGGACAGTGGGACACTCACCTGGAGAGTCGCACACAGGAGGGACTGGAGGTCGTTGAACTGGATTCTGTCCGAGGTGCTCTGGATGTGAGACTGGAACACAAGGGAAAAGAGGTTGCACTGGGTTCTGACAACACCAGCACATCCACACCGTGTTGAAATATTTGGTTTGGTTTTTGTTTTGGTTTTTTTTGATTTTTTTTCCAATTTAAGACAAGAGGGACTTAAGTGCAGAAGCTTAAAAACAGAACCCCAGGATCTCAAATCCCACCCAGTCCCACCTTCCACTGGGCCCAGGTTGCTCCAAGTCCTGCCCAACGTGGCCTTGGGACACTCCCAGGGATGGAGCAGCAGCTCTGGAAGGGGAGGGGGCTGTGTTTGAGTTGGGATTTACCCACCTCCATCTGCAGCACTTGCTGGAGCCGCTCCATGATGACCAGGGTTGTTTTTTGGACAGCAGGGTAACAGTCCTTGGCACTGTTTTTCACTATTTCCATCAGGGATTCATAGGCAGAACTCCTCAAGTTATTCTGGTGTCCATCAGGCCTGGAACAGAAGGGATAATTTGCAGCTCCCAGTGGCTCAGCCTTGCTTAGAAACAGACTTTTTTTTTTTTTTTAATTTTAGTAAACCAGCAACAGCCACATTTCAGTGCTGTGACAAGCAGCACTTGCATCTCCCTATTCCAAGCCTTGAAAGCAAAATAAATTTATGAAGCCACTTTTAGCACTTTTTTTTTTTTCCTCCCTTCTCTATTAATGATTTCCAGCATCTGGGAAGGAGGGGAGGGAGAGGAAAAGCCTCGAAGCCCCCAGAGAGAGGTGAGCAGCACATCAGTGCCCCTCTGCCACCCCCCTGGCACTGAGCTGGGACAGAAAGACAGCTGAGAGTGACTGATGGGCTCCAGAGCCTTGAGCCAGACACTCCTGTCTGGATGGAAATTAGGCAGGGAGAGCTTGGACTGAGCTGTTCAGATGAAGGAGGATCAATCCTGCAGCAAAAGGCTCCAGACTGAGCTGAGCCAGGCACTGAACTCTGAGCTGGGGGATTTATGGGACCTCCAAGGCACGAAAAACTGCAGCTTTACCCTGATTTTTCACATCTGCAGGGCTGGGAGCAAAAATATTTTGCCTGGGTGGGAAGGGATGGAACCTCCAGGGGAAAGGGGTGGAGGAGAATGGGCAGGGAAATGTGGAATTCTGGTGGTGTCCTGCTGGAATTCCTGGTTATCCAGTGGTCCTGCAGCCAACCTGGGTCTGAAACTCTTCACTTAAAATTCAGATTCAAAGGAAAGGGGGGGGGATTGAAGAAAAATAGGAGATTCAAGGAAAAGTAGGAGAGGTTAAAAGTAAAATAAGGGAGACTGGAAGTAAGAAAAGAGATTCAGAGGAAAACTGGGGAGATTGAAGCAAAATAGGAGAGATTCAAAGCAAAACTGGGGAGATTCAAAGGAAAAATGGAGAGATTTAAACTAAAACAGGAGAGAATCAGAACCAGGAGATTTAAAGTAAAAAGACTGAAGGTAAAATGAGAGATTCAGAGGAAGAAGGGAGAGAGATTCAAATCCAGGGGATTTAAAGTAAAATAGAAGATTTAAGGTAAAATGAGAGATTCAGAAGAAGACAGGAGAGATTCAAAACCAGGAGAGATTCAAAAGTAAAACCAGGAGAGATTGAAAAACAGGAGGTTCAAAGGAAAACAGGAGAGACTCAAGGTAAAATAAGAGCTTCAAGATAAAAAAAAGGAGAGATTCAAA